GCGCAAAAAAAGAAAGATCTCCTTTACTTTTCTTTTTTTTTTTTTTTTTTTTTTTTTTTTTTTTTTTTTCTCTTACCTATATGGTTATCTCATGCAGCGGGAACGAAATATAGTATATTCATCATCATCATCTACTATCTATCAACTTTTCCTTTTTTTCACCTTCGGCTTTTTGTAAGAAGTACAATCGACATGTGGCCTACGTGCTCACTACCTATCCAATCCAACATACATAGTACGTTCTTCAATTAGTAAGTTCATGGTACCTAGTTACTACTACGTACTTACCCATTCACCGAGAGGGAAAAAGCAAGCTCACTCACCTAGTACTAATACTAATAACTAATTGATATAAATGAAAACAAAAACGTAGTCACCAACCAACTAACCCTTTCCCACCAACCAACAATCACCTCAAGTCCAGATAATGCATTCAGTTACTGTAACCCAAGTAGTAGTAGTAAGTAATCCACCCTATCCATTAATCCAGTAACTACTAACTAAAATAGAAGTAAACTAACCAACCACTTTATATCTATTGTGACCACCCATCTATCCATCACTGCATTACCCTAATGACCCATCCATACAACATACATACAACTCCATTCTAGTCGACAGGCAAAGAAGACGTACATTTCACCAGTTAAATAAATAGGTACTAGATAGAAGACCAAAGTATGATTTGAAATAAACTATGTAACTAAATACTATACATACATAGTATGTACATACTGTATCAATATTGCGCCACCTGCTAACCTGCTAGTAATTTTGCATACAGCGCAAAAGATGAAAAGACGCTATCTATATGCATTATACATCACAACTCTAGCCTTCTTCTACCGTTACGTTCTGATTCAATGGAGCTACTAGTTACTGTCCATTGTCACTTCCTATGACGTTATTGCGGTGGTGGTGGTGGTGGTGGAAAGGAAGAAGGAACTAAAGTAAGCTAGCTAGCTAACTAACTACTGGGCAAGACGGGAAGTACGGAGGCTTTATCTGACTTGACATCATCGTGCAGATCTGAGGCATCCACGGAGTTTAGTCCAAATGGTGCGGGAGGGGGGAAGGAGGAGATTGATTAAATTGGCCTGTTACTAAATAATAATATACGAATCGTTCGATGAATAAATAGGGATCAGGGCATGTGTTCAATTGGTGTAGTTGCTGCCCAATGGCCCAATACGTACTTTTGGCATGCCGTTTACATCATAGAGAGAAGGTACATCTTTGTAATTCCAGTCATAAGTACAGGTGGTAGATGATCTGTAAATAATGAAAATACATCAAGACGAAATTTAGGTAGATAGATGTAGGGAGCTGATGCTTCTAGATTGCGGGAAATCAGTATGACGCCCTCATTTGGGGCCACAGGAGAAACCAAATGAGCTATCGACGTGAAGGGTAATTTGAAATCTCCCCAATGACATTATTAATACCAAAGCCTGTGAGGGAGCAGGCGAGTGAGGATGAGCGAGTAGTTAGTCTATGCAGTGAGTCTGATAGACTGACAGGGACTAAGAGAGCTAGCGTCCGCGGCCTTGAGGATCAGCGAGGGCCTCATCAAGAATCCAAAAACACCGATGCGCTTCGCCCCTCCGATCTGCTGCTATTCATCGACTTTCAGCAGCCCCAGCAATTAGGCCAGGCGCACGCGCTCACTGGTACCAAGTTGTAGGTAGTCGGGCTCGGCTGCCGCATCGGAGACAAATCATCTCACATCAGCCCCTGTTTTCGCCTTCCCATTGGCCATTCTTGGCAGGCCGTGTCTGTAGCGGATATCGTTTCCTGGGCCTGTAGAATCGCTTGCGTTTTGTTCTTCCATGGGCCTTTGCTTTTTCCTTACTGCCAGTCTTCTCCCTTTTCGGGCTATGCTCTTTTGTGATCCCGGTCTTGCTGTCCACGGGCCCTAGCCACTTCAAGAGACCCGAAATAGAAAGATTAATCTATGTTAGTGGTACAGCAGGGTATGGAGGACTTGGCCCATCGGTTGACTTGCTATAGAAGTAATGGCCCGACCACGACTGCACTACAGCTAAATGCAGGAGCGATGTTTATGTCTCCTATTCGGACTCGTCACGGATCGCTGTTGTCTGTGCTCAACCATGGTAGATAGAGTGATGCACGATCGGGTCATATCTTCTGTCACCACTGGATCGACAGCCGTGATGCTAGCATATCAAATTATACTTATTGATAATTTAACAATGACGATCGACAGTCCCGATGATTCTGCATGCTGTCTCGATATTTGGATGCTCTGCTGGTATGATCAAACCAGAAAAGCCAAACCATAAAACAAACTGCAAGGATGACCGGTCTACTGGATCCTGAAGGGAGACAGCAAGAAGCGGTTGTCTAACCTCGGCGATAGACCAGTACATGGCTCGCCTTGTGATATAGTGTGACGATCGGAATTGATGACAGATTTTGGGAGCCTTCGTATTGAGCCCAAGCACCGTGAGGGCAGTTATGCGTTTCACCCCATCGCAGAATATGCCATGCCACCCTTCTCCATGTTCATCCACTTGGCTCATAGCCAGTATGCTTTGTTGAACCGAGTAGCATGTATTGAGATATTGAGCGAGAAGTATAGCTGCTGGTCCAATAGAGAACACTTCCGGTCATGCCTTGCATTTGGGAGTGACTCAGATGTAAGGCCGACCGTGGCAACAGTTGAACTCACGGTTGTATCCATACGAGTTGTGGATACCGACCAATTTCCAGAGGTGCATAAATGGGCTCCTTCCCTGGATCGCATTCAACGAACTATCATAGTCGGGGCCGAAGAATTCGCCGAGCAAGGTTTGCTGCACTCTCTGAAGGATGTGTAGTAATGAGGTCACTAGAGTCACAAGTCAGACAATGTTTATACCATCAACAGCCAACAACCGCAGATGTCACCGTAAAATACCGCAATCTTCTTTCATCTTAAGGGTGTCTCGCAACCTACATTATACCGATTTCCCAATATATTCAAGCCATGGATGCTCTATATAGTCGGCACTCTGTGAAATAATTGAACGGGAAGGAAAGAAATAAAAAACAAAGGGAAATAAAGTGGAATATTACAGAGGGGACACCAAGTGGAGAAGGAGGCAATCGACTCAACCTGCCAAAGAACAGAATATAGCAGAGTATAAGGAGGTTGACAGATATCCAAAATCTTTCTTTGTTTTCGTCCAAGGACGTTGATGTTCTTCATTTTCCTCCTTCTCACTGCCCGATTGAGCGAGAATGCTGGTCAGAATTGGAGGGCTGGTGGCTGCGATCCTCGGCAGGAACAAATCGGGACATTGATTGATCGAGAGTTCTCGAAAGCTTCAAAAGCTTTTCCTGAAACATCTCGAGGGTCATCCAGCCATCTGGCCCCTGGACCCCGTCAGTCATTGGTTTCGTTATGTCGTTGGTCATAGTTCCGGATGAGACTGATAAAGATCGCGCGCTGCCAATTCCTGGATTACGAACTGGTTCGGGTGGATCGTCATCTGTGTTATCTAGTCAGTGAAATCTTCCACCGTCTCAACTACATGTTGCTTAAAACCAACAAAATACCTGGCCAGGGCACGTAGTAGAATAGCAAGGGAAATCAAGAGAAGGGCAGGGGATCTCACGGAAATGTGACGGTGTTTCTGTTGAAGGTGATAATGTCATTGCTCGTTCCTCTGGCGGTGGGGTAAAATAGCTCATATCGGAGGGAGTTTCTGACGACATGAGTAATTGCAGCACTAGGGGCGGATTGGGAGCATCTTACCTGGTTCGGGGCTTGTTGCCTGGATCGGCTGGACGGGCTGGACGGGCTGGATGATCTGATGGCCCTGAGGACTGTGCGGAGGGTCCTCGCGGGAATTATTGGCCTCCATGTTCGATCCATATCTACGGACAAAGCGTGAGATGCGTTTGGAGTCGACTTCCTGCCCAGCAACACGAAAACCTGTTTGCTTGCCTCGGGCCGCTCGTTTCTGTTGCTTTCGGATCATGACATGGACTTCTTTGGCCTTGATATTCTTGCGGACATGCCATGCAGCCAGGCGATCTTTGTATTGTTTTTCTCTAGAAAGTTTGAATGTCAGGGGAGCCTATAACCAAGCTGATTCGTCCAGGAGTGGGGAAGGGAAGGGAAATAAAAGAAAAAAGCAACATCAATAACAATGACGCACTGTCCTCTTCTTCCGCTTTTGGTGGTGAAAGGAAGAAACAGCATATTGCTGCAGAGAGACAAGCAATGCAAGCCAATAAGTGAGAAGAATGACAAATACGAGGGCGAGTGGGAGAGGCAAGAAACAGGGCAGGAATGGCAAATAAGAGAAATGGAGGCTGTACGATGCAACAAAGTTATAGTCACGCTCCATGATCCTCTTCACATCACGGAGCTTGAGCTGATTGTCTCGGTAGAGACTCTCGATAGCCGTGCGATACTCATTCCAATCTTCTGATTTGCGGGGTCGGAAAACGGTTGATGAAGAGGAGGTTGGAATGGTAGTGATGGAGGAGGTGGTGGAGGTGGTCGTGGTGGACGGCGGCGGAATAGAGCCCTCCATCATGAATTAGTCACTGAATATTCCTCGTCAACCATACTCTGAATCGGAGCGGGACGTGCGAAACAGCTAGCGAAACAGCTAGGCGGAAGCTCGATATCACAGCAGAGATCGGGAAGAGTAGTTGAAAAGAGAGTTAAGGAAAAAGGGTGAGTGGGAAGACGGGAGTAGAAAGTGGAGAGGCTAGATAGATGACTTGAGGAAACTAAGAAGGTCGAAGATAAAACGGCGAAGTAGGAGGGCGAAGTGGTTATGCAGACAGAAAGCCGTACGGAGAAGAGACGTCGTCAGGAGAGGGGGAGTCGTGTCAGGGTAGCCAGAAAGAGTAGTAAGTAGTAAGTAATTAACTAGACTAGCGAGCAGCGGCGGAGGCTGATGAAGCCAAAGGCAGCAGCAAGAAGTAGCAGCAGCACCAGCAGCAGCAGGCGCGAAACAGGGTCGCGGTCTTACTAGCAGTTAGCTGGTGGGAGTAGATCGTGTTCTGCGGAGGGCGGGAATTGGTGGTGATATAGTTCGGGGGATTTCAGCGAGACCGAAAGAGTATGTAAGTAAGTAAAGTAAATTAGAAAAAAAAGTAGTTGTTAGTTAGTTAGTCTTGTCAGTTCTGTCAAGTCAAGTGCTGTCGAGTTGTCACAGTGTTCGACAACCGCCAGCCAAGGCGATAAAATCAATAGCGATAATCTTAGTCTGGAAAAATCAGTAGAAAAGAAAATAAGGAGTAGTAAGTGACGGCGACAGTAATAATAATAAATGATAATACTACCACAACTAAATAATAATAGCAACCATAACTATTACTCTCTGGTTGCTGATGGGAAAAATAATTAGACTAATTGATGAGGAGCCAGCAGCGGGTTGGTTAGTACTACGGGGTATGCATGTCAGTAAGAGTAATGTACGTTGGCTGACCGGCCATCTGGATCCTTTCCTCCCAACCAAACGATGCCAACAAACAGGAGAAGACAGCAGCTTTGGAATGAAACATTCGGGAAGTAAAGTAAGTCATCAATCTCCTGTCCAATTGGGAAATAGACGCATTTTTTCAAATTTAACTCTGTTGGTTACAAGTTATGGGCGTATTGTGAGAGGAGGGGGGAGGGGAGGAAAGTCAAGAGTATCTTAAGAGAAAATACAGAAAACAGAAGGGTATAAAAAAAAACACAAAACGGAAAGAGGGAAATAAATTACATCAAAACAAGTGCTAATTCGGGCCATGAGAAAGTAAACATTGTCAATACCGCAGACCGGAGGCGTCTGGGCAGCAAGTAAGTACTTCCTCTCCACTACTAGGCGAGGATCCCACAGGGCAACCGGGTGGTTCGCCGCTGGGGTAAACCTAGTACGGGCGCTAAATAAAAGTACCGCTGCTGACTGGCAGGGCCAATAGCATCCGCCTACCCTTTGCGGCGACCTGCTGCTGAAAAGCCCGCGGATGTCGCTATCCTGGTTCCCGCGAGCCAATCATGGATTATATGAAGTGGTCCGTGTACTTTTGTCACGTTCTGTCTGACCGGTTCTGTATGAATGTATGAAGTTCCGACAGTTCGCGGTTTGTCGTAATTGTAATAAACCATCAGAATGTGGAATCACAATTATCATCAGCAGCAGCATCATCATCATCAGGTGGGCAGGCACTAATTTAGGCGTTACGAGGTACCTTGCCTGGGTCAACCTGGTCAACCGCCTCGGAAGCTAAGACCTATTTCCTGAATAGTGCAGGTGTATCGTTAAAACGGAGGGGGGGAAGGATTACATCCTTTTTTTCTTCTTGAATTTCGTTTTTATTCCTATTAATTTCTTTTCTTCCCACCCTAAATGTTTTGCAGATGTGATATAGAGGAAGTTTGGGTTACAACGGTATGCCAGCATGAAATGTGGCAGTCGCAAGTCAGGCACTTCTAAATATCTATCTACTACTACTACCTCTTACTATCTATCCCTTTTAAAAGTGAGGCACTGCTTGGTATACCCGGGTAAATAGCCTGGTCGCCTCCTTCGGGAAAAGGTACCCAGTTGCTCTAGACTCCTGGTACTTACTAACACCTTGGAGAATATTTCCACAATGACGCCATGGATGATTTTTTGCTTCATCCGCAACAAACGCCAAAACTGAAGCTAGTATTCTCACCTCTGCCGGGGATAAAACTGGAAAAAAATAAAAGGTGTAGACGGAAGGTTGAGAACCTGGTTCAATGCGCAAGAGAATAAAAAAAAAAAAAGAAAAAGAAAAGAAAACGGAGACACTTTGAACTGAAGCGCCGAGTTCTTTAGTCTGCGACCCATCCGACGGCCATACTACTTGGGAGTTAAGTGGTCCCTTCATATAAAATCTGCGCCATTTCTGCAGGTGCAACAGCTCGAAGGATCCGTCTAGCTCCAACGTATATATCCAAACCCCAGTCATACTTCCGTTGCGTCTCCTAATTCCTACTAGTAGACTCCTGACACCAAGGAGCTCGTTCCTCTCAAGCTTGACAGGGGGGGAGGGAGTCGGGGAAGGATGTCTTCCTGTTCGCTCAATCATCGCCCCAAGATCTGCTAAAGGTACAGTGAGCATAGAATCCAGTGATCTAGAAAGGGAAAGAGCGATCATGATCATGCCAAATCATCAAGAATGGGCCAATACTCGCCTTAATTAATCTGCCAGCACTGTATGATCAGGTTGCGGATGAAAAGGCTGCGGCTGCATTCTTTTCCTTCTTTTGCTGACATTTCTTTTTTTTTTTTTCTTTTGGCTTGAGTTGGATTCGTGGATCTTCGGGACGGGACTTCCATACACGCGTCCGTGTGTTGATGAGTGGGCTCATGACCCGATGTGGCAAAGTTGGATCATAGCAAGGATCATAGGATGAGGCCTGAGCTCTCCCAAGCGAAACTTTCATTTCCATGACTGTGGCTTGGACGCTACCTTGATCAGGGGGGGAGGAATTGCCTCGTTTCCGAGAGAGAAAAAGGGATCACTCCAATTCCTTCCCTGTTCACATATTGGAAGCAATTCATGCAGCCATTTCATTATTTCTCCGCCGTGAGGGTCGTCCAAACTCCCATTATCAGGTTTCTTCCTGAGCACAATCTTGGGACGATATTCAACGACAGCTGGAACTTTCGGCCCGTCAAGTTGACGGTTCGGATCGGAGGTCCGCCCGTTTTCCCACCCAAAGTTCTGCCGGGGATGCAAAAATACAACAAGAGCATAGGTACGGTATTTACGACCGGAGCCATTGTATGGACTATCTTCCTTCTTCTTAGTACCTGTCCAAGCTTGCCGAGTCGGCCTGAGCACGACCACTGTGGAATATTATTAAGAAATTTAGTAGCTGGCATTGTTCCAGTCCTTACAGTTTAAAAACATTATGGCTGCCTCCACGGGGGACTTGACATGAACAGGCGCCGATGCAGTGTGACAAGTGAGTGGGTTGGATCAATGAACTTGTTCTTGTTACTCTAACCGTTTTTTCTTTCTGGCTGTCAGGGTTGGGATCGGTTCGATTCAAGTATTGTATGTGCCTCACTAAACCGGCCACTAATCAACTTGGTTTCGCCCTCGTCGACCAGTGCATGGGATTCGCCACTAGCACTCTCGGGGAACAATACACTTTCTGTCTTGATCGGTGTCTCACCATCACTTGCTGCGAGCAAATCCTCGGCCCATGGGGATCTTCATGATTGATGACATCAGAACAGCCACAGAGGACACGAACCGTGGGGAGCACAGACTGCCTAGGGCTCTATACTTAAGTGATATAACTACATGAAGCCATGGCTAGTGGCTTTGTATACCTTACCTTTCTGTACTGGTACAACACCGTGGAAACAGCACCATCTTGCCATTATATTTCCGATCCACCAACCTTGGTGCAGGATAACGATTCAGGCTATTGGAGCCCCGGCGCTGCGCATTACCTTGGAAAATGAACCAGGACATTCAGCAAGGTGCGCCAGTTAGCCAAGGGCTGACAGAGGTCAGCTTAGGTACTTTCGCACTTACCGGGCAAACCTTCTACAACCTTGCACATAGTGCATGTGTCATCTGGCTCTGATGAGGCCTATTCTGTTTCTCTACTGTGACCCATCGAACAGAGCGAGCTGAGTCCTGCTGAGCACAGCTGAGGACGACAGAAACTCACTTTCGTGCTCTGGCGTATGCCAGCCAATGTCATTTGAGGATCGCCCATCCTCGTGGGAGGGATCCAGCCAGCCACATTGCACGGTATAGGATATGGCCCGATGAATGGTGGGAGAGATTGTGCTGTATTAATTTGTTGCCCCTGATGGCTCTCGTTCTTGGGGTTGGAGTTTCAATCACCAGCATTCGATCTCAGGTTTCACATGCTGTGTCCGCCAGCAGATCCAAAAGGCCATCCTCGCTTGGGTCAGCACTATCCGTACGTTGCTCAACATGGTGAGGCTAACCTAGTGGGCTCTGCGGAAGAGCCGAACTTTCTAATCCTTCCGTCCAGTATTGTAGGCATCTATGCTTCAACGCCTCGGCGTCCTGCTGGCTGTCGGGCACTCTCTTTGCAGCTGACATAGGATTTACTCAAAATGCTTCCATGCATCGGCACTAGAAGGCTAAGTCCAGTCGATCATCGCCATGCGCCGTCGTCCTGAGAATCAAGTTATCGACCACGACATATCACAACTGATGCCTGATTTTGTTTTTCCTTCGAGGACTAACTCCTTTAAGTTCTAACATATCGAAGCAGCCTGCTCACCAAACCCCCCTTCCTTGTCCCAAAATGCCCGTATCTGTGTTACTTGTGTAAAGATACGCGATACAGTATGATACTCCATCCTAGTAATTCCTGCCTATCAGTGTCGGGAAAATCCATACTAACCCGTTCAAATCCATACCAAAGCAGATTCCACCCAAGCCACCCTTTGATAAAGATAAGAAAGGGAAAAAAAAGGAAATAAATAGAGCGCAGATAGACAAGAAAAATAAAAGAAGCAATACCATTTCCCTCGCTGTCTCTTGTTTTCTCCCTCCGCTCGGGAACTCACCCGGCCAAAAGTACCTACCTACATGCAGTGATGAAATAACCCATACCTATCTAGGTAGGTAAGCTGATAGCCGGATAGTAAGTAGTAGTAGCAGCCGTAGTAGTGATAGTAGTACGTAGTCCAAATGCCCTCCTCCACCCCCTCCTCTCTCTCACTCTCTCACTCGCAATCGAATATATCCTCCGCCCTAAGATTTAGTTCCGCTAGCATCACGTAAGGGCTGAAACACAAAAGCACTGCATGCACGACAACCTGGACCATTACAATATTACTAGGTAGGTACCAAGTGCAATCGTCCATGTACTATATATGTATGTAAGCATTGAGATACATACATACATACCGCAATACATACATACCGCAATACATAACATACATACATCCATACAACCGGAAATGGAACAAGGCAACCACCGGCGGCATGCATACTTGCATCCAATCAATCTATACATAGATAGATAGATAGAATCCTAAGTACAGTAAGTACTACTTAGATAAGTATTTACCTACCTACCTACCTAACGGAAGGGAGCAGGCTTCTTTTAATTGCTAACTTACTTCTATCTCGGGTAGGTAAATAAAAGAGTAGTTCTTGGACGGGTGTGGTTCTTTTCTTTACTAACTGCCAATTTAGGTTGTTTATGGGTGAATCCCCCCACCCCCCACATATTTTCTCCGTGTCTTGTTTTGGAAAAGAGAATAGATTGATTATGGATGGATGGATGGAATGGATGGGTATATAGGGAGGTGATAAGTACTGGGGGTGGTTTGGCAAAAGTACATATGAAGTTCAGAGGGAAAAAGGGACCTAGCTTTGGGGGGGGATGTTCATATTACAGATTATTATACATGGTGAGCTATAAACTAAACTACGGGGGGAAGATATAATGATTCTGGTAATTGGTTGTGGATTTTATGGCTGGTACTACTTACTTACTACTCCGTATGTAGTACTTAAGTTGGGGGTAAGTTGATAGTAAATGGGAGATGTAAGGTGGTTGTTTTTTCCAGTCTCACTACTAGGTATGTATGTATGTATGTATCTAGTACCAAATCGACTACGGATTTGTAAAAACAAGAAACGGAAGGAGAGGGAAGAGAAAAAAGCAGGTGGACGAGAGAAAGAGGAGACGCTAATGTCGCGCCGTGAATAGTGCATCCGTTTCCCGTGCGTGTCGCGCCCGCCAGTCCGTCACTTAGACAATGCGCTAAAGGACATCAATTAGAGGAAGGAAGAGAAAAAAAGTGAGGAGGGGAAGAGCGGATGGAGTGGATGGATGGAGACGATGGGCGCTACCACAATCGCCGCCTCCTCTTTTCCTCTCCTCTTCCCTCGTGTGGATTGGCATAGGATGTAGGAGTTATCTAGCGTGGTTTTTTAGGGGTGTGGCCCCCCGGGGGCGGGCCGAAACATTCCCAGCAGTAGGTTATGTTTTCTTTTGTGACGGTTGTAGGATCATCCCTGGGCTATCTGTATGACATTGGAGGGTGAGGGGAGGGGGGAGGGGAGAAGAAGGAGCGAAGAGAAAGAGGAGCGCAGAGGGCGAGATTGAGAAAGTGGGTAAAGACCCAGCGCCATGGATCCGCACAATGTCCGAATGATGGTGGCTGCATCTCTAGGCTGATTTTCCCTTTGTTTCCTTTGTTTTCGCTCCCGCGACGCGGCGTCAACTTTCGTCCATTTGGCCTTTTCGTTCGGACTTGCAGGGAACCTGGGGGTTTGGCGCGCCCGACACGCTGGACCTGCGAAATTGAGATGAAGGCGCTGCAGTCCAATCACGATGCGAGCGCTGCAAATGGCCAGTCTGTGGGTGTCTGTGATCGAAAGAAGCAATGGAGGGTGAAACAGGCAGGAAGGCAGGCAGACGAGTCCAGGCAAGGCAGTCATGTCCGATGGGAAGGGAAGCCATGGCTGGCTCCCATGTGGCCCACTGTCTATCTTGCCTCTCCAAGGATAATCGTACGCAGGAGTCATTCATGAAGCCAATCCTGCATCTCGCTTACAGGATAGAGTGTCTGTCGTGTCAGATTTCGGAGAGCCCACACACACACACCCTCTCTTCTCTCACACACTGCTCCCGACAACTAGAGGACGATCTCCCGTCTCTACCACATTTCACTCAAAGGCATCCGTCAAGGCAGGCTGAACCTTCAGCCAATACCAGCAGGAAACTCAAAGTGACACTTTCCCTGCTTGTCTATCCTTGTCAGGGCCGGTCCACTGGATCCTAGCCGGCTTGTCGAGGAGATCATCGTCCTCTCCCGACACCGCCAGCGTTTTGACGCAAAAACTGGCCACGGGAGAAGACAAAAGAGGCAATACGTAAATAGCAACTACTGCGCGGTATAGTTGATCATATGCTGCTAATTCTCACTGGGACAAGGTTGCTGCTGATGGTCATGCTACAACCGCGTGATGCAAGGAAGAGAAAGCATGGTGGACTGAATACATGCTGAAGTGCCATACTGCCAGCTCACACGGCTGATGACCAGATCTTTGCTTCCATCCATTCAAGTTTCAACTGGTCCATCCGGTGAAAGCTATGATGAGCGAGGTACGTTACCCAACATCGGGTTGTGGGCTGCAGGGTCGATAGGAATCAGTCCCATTGATGACCCCAGTGGAAGTAAAGCAGGGCAGGGGGTTGCAGTCTTGTTTAATCCCGCACTGTCGGTCTATACCGGATGACCGCTTCATTTGGTCGTAGGGTTAGACGTAGGCATGCCGGCTTGTTCGCCAGCTGCAACTGCTGCTGCTGCGACGGCAGCAGAATTACTGGAACCCGCGCTAGCAACGTTACTCGCATGCGCCAGCAGGAACTTACAACAGGTCAGGGTGTATTTGCATGCACGAGTCCAAGTTTCGTCGTTCTGGTTGAAGCCAAGCTTGATACTGGCGTCGCCAATTTTGTCGCGCTTGATCTCGTATGGAAGCTTCAATCCGGGCACTGTAGTGTTAGCCTGACCCCGGCGATTTGAGGGCACAGGCGCCGGCGTCTTCTCCACAAATTCACCTAGTTGACGTAAACATTCCAGAAACGCCACCATGCCTGCATCAAACCGGCGGTGAAGCCAAGGTAGATTTAGGGGCAGCTCGCCCGATGAGAACAGGTCGAGGACGGTGATCTTGGGCGGTGCGGATGACATCGCATTTGCTCCACTCAGCGCCGACTGAGCCGGGGACGGTCGAGACTGTTCGATCTTCTCTATTCTCGACATAGATCCCATTGGCTTGATCTGGTACCCTTGAAACTGGAAGCCTAACTTGTCGGCGATGGTTGCTAGGAGGAGCGCTGTCTGACCCCAAGCAGCATTGATCTCGGGCCAGTCCACCGATGGGTTAGCCAATCGACCAAGCCGCAACCCGTTGATCGTTCCAAAGTAGCCATCGTGACCGATGCAGAAAGCGTCATTGTACACATTGGTCCTTTGTAGTCTTTCAAGCTGGCGAGAGTCATGGTCGTATTTCATGTTTAGCGCATCGCGTTCGTTCTGAAAATCGGAGAGGGTCAAGGCAAATGAATTGCGATCACGCCAGAACTTTTCCTCTTCAAGATCCAATTGACGGGCTTCCTCCTCCAGGCCGGCGATTTCTTCATCCAAAACTGACTTTTCTGCTTCCAACGCAAGGAGTTCTTCAAAGGCGAGCTTCTCCGCATCCAAGGTCTCCTGTAGCGACTTCTGGGCCGCCTCGAGCTCTTCAGCTGTCGGGACAGAGGAGTTTAGGTTTCGCAAGAATGAGATGTATGCATCCCGCTCCTTTGTGGCATCTGCTAGTCGTTGCTGTAAACCGTCCACGAGCATCTCTGTACATTCGGTGCAAATGGGATGGTCAATGTCGGATCGCGCGGAGATTATATCAAACAGCCGACTTGTTCGTTCGACTTGATCTGCGAATGATGCGTCGTCCGATCCGCGATCGTTGGACTGTGTGCTGGCCGGCAGCTTACTGTTCGCGGGATTATCACTGCTAGGACCGGGCATTCCATGTGGCGGCCCAACTTGAGACTCCGTGAGCATCACAAAGGACATGTTACCACTGTCCCCTCGGCCCAGCCTTGGAGGGTTGGTCTGGCTACTGCCTGCCTGGCGGGGAGCTGGAACAGATCTCCGATATACCGGTGATGTAGCATGTTTAGAGGCCCGGTCGTAAAGCTCTCGTCGCTCTTGGGAGTAGGAAGGTCGGGATGATGAATGAGTGCCATGGTCCGGCAGAGATCTACCTGTTGAGCCTGGAGAGTTCGAGATGAGAAATGGTTAATTTCTGGCATGATTCCGTGCAATTAAACAGAGAGAGAAGGGAGGAGAGGCCAAAGCTGAAATTAACGTACCGATCAGCAGGTCGAAGGCGGCGGGGTTGAGGGACTCGAGAGAGCCATCCAACTTCAAGGGAGTCCGGCACTTCTGGCAATACATGGCGAAATGATGGAATCAGCCACCCTGGCATTATTATGGTCGTGAAGGGGAAATGGTGATTTTGTCTGACGGGAGCCAGGGAGAAATCGAGACGGACGAGAGGGAGCTTTGGGGATGGTCGGCAGGGGATCGCATTTCACGAGACGTCATGCGGCAATCCGTGCGCGGCGCGTGTTTTGGCGTCGTTCTTTCCCCGACCGGCAGTTTCAATGGTTTCTATTCACTCAATGCAGCTCCAGACAATCGGAATGCAAAGTCGGTTGGTCTAAGACTCTGACTGGAAGGTATGCATGGTCCGTGTTACTCTCTTTGAGCTGAGCCTGTTCCGAAGCTTTTGAAATGTGTTTATGTTGTTCACTAAACATTGAAATGTCTCTCTCTCCCTCTCTCTGTGCACTCGGGAGTTACTATGTCACTCCCAGTTCCTTTCTCAGTCTGCTCTACCTTGTCTCGTTTCGTCTTTACCTTCATGAATCGGCAGTTCCGCTGCTTTGTCTATTTATACTACCTGTTACTAACTACAAGTGTAAAGAGCTTTCAACAGGCGATGTCCCAGCCTTGATCCAAAGACCTTTCGCTCGGTGTTTCCCGCAGAAGCAGCGCTGGAAACCTTCTTCGTCGCTACTCTCCCCGTCCAGCGCACCCAGAATAATTCAGCTACGATTTAACGAGACAATGGAAAGGCCCGCGAAAAGACCACGCTTCTCCATGGGGCCGGAACCCGAGGAAGAGGTGGACGACATGGACATTCACGAAGCACGTGCGCAGAATGATCTCCGTCTGAAATCGATCTTCGAAGGCATTTTTGAAAAATACGGCAAGGACTTTACGGACGTTGGCGACGAAATTGATTTACAAACCGGAAATATAATCGTGAACAATGGCCACATCCAGGCCATGGAGGGTGAAGATGATACCGGGGAACAGAATGGTTGGCTGTTTGAGACGGATTTATCTGCACCTCCAAATCCCGATGCGGAAAATGTTAGGTTGGGCAGTTCTGCTCATTCTCCTGATGCAGAGGAAATCGGAGGTGATGCTGCAGGAGATGACGGCGGCACGCAATCGCAGCATCCACCGACGTCGATGCCATGGCAAACAGGGCTGGTCCCGGACCAGCCATGGGACGCCATCATGGGCGAAGCAGCCAATGACGACCCGGACACTAACGACGAGAGGTCTAGTGCGGACTCGCTGCTGGATACTGCATTGTGCGTCCAGAATAACCCGGATGGCTCTCGGGGCCGAAAGGTGACGGCAGATGCCACAGGGAAACCGACCATCAAAAAAGCAAATTCTGCGGCTGAAGCATCCGCCCAATCCAAGGAAGTCAAGTTCAGTGAGGCGGTGGAGGCAATATGGCGCGTTCCTGAAATTAGCGGGGACTTTTCTACGCCTACATGGAACAAGTCACGTCCTGCATCTTCTTTCAATACAGTGCGGTCTCAGTCTCCACCGGGATCAGGGTCTATCTGGGCACTTCCTTGGTCCTCTCGACGGGGCTCTGGACAGAAACGCGCAACGAAGCCTCAGAAGTCACCGCAGGGAAGGAAGCATCATTCTAGCCCCGTCGTGTGCGACTGGTCCTTTGCAGAGACGCCGGACGGAGACGAATCCGACGATCCGTTGCAGGAAGACTATGAACCCTCGCCGACGCCCAAACGGGGCGTGGAGATCCGAGGAAAGCGCTCGGAATCACACACCCCAAGCCGTGCGAAAGACCGATGCGAGTCTTGCCAGCAATACTTTGGTCGATCCGATTACATTTCCCATTTGAAGGGCCTTCTATCGCAGGCCTCCGATGGCCAACATGATCAGGCAGCCATGCGGAAGCATCTGGCCGCCATAACCAACTCTCATGATTCAGAGAAGCGGGCAGCAGCGACCAGCACTTCCGCCCAAAAGAGTGGGGCTTCCTCTGAAAATATAACGAAAGTATCGGCGGAGAACACTCCAGACGGTCCTGATACGATGACGCCTACGAAGAAACGTGTTCGGACGTACATTAGTCCAGATGAAGCAAGGTTGATTATTGAGATGAGGCAAGTACAGGGGAGAAAGTGGAACGAGATCGTCGAGCGACTTCCACACAAAAACCTGCCCCAACTCCTTAACTGGAATAAAACGCACTGGAGTGAACGCCGAGCGAACCCGCCTCCATTGTCCAGACCGTGGACTAAACAGGAGCGGGAAGAGTTAATCAAAATCAAAGACCAACACAACCTCTCGTGGGCCACCGTCCGTGCAAGACTATCTGGACGCCCAGTTGCGGAGATCGAATTCGAACTATTGCAGCTCTGGAGTGGCGAGGCCGTTTAATGCCCACGAAGAAAGATGATTGGGCGCCCGTGTCAGACTGACAAGGACGGGATGAAGCCGATTCGCGGCAACTGAGTCAGAGTTCGATTCGATTCAGACGTGCAACCAGTCAGCGGGGACGATCGCCTCAAGCACGACTTCTTGCCAGATTCATGCCACGACCCACTAGGGCAAGTCTAGATGACAGGAGGGCAGTAGACAATCGCGCGGTTCTATCTAGCGCGAATGGGAGCCACCGCCACGGTTCGTCCGGGTAAGGCCGAGGGGATCCCAGCTTGTCGGTTTCAGCGGCAACGAGCATGGTTCTGGCCGCCGCCATGTCCGACACTAGCATCAGCTTCATGCAGAGCGGGAATAGCATGTTTGGGCTTTGTCGCCCCTGTCCAGGGGTCTTCCCGGAGGCCCATAGATGATTATTTCTGCCTTGTCTTTCTTTGCCCGTGACGAACCCCATGCTTGTCCGCAATGAATCGTAGCTTCTATTGATCCTCTTCCTTTGCGTTCAAAACATCTTCCAGCTTTGTATCCACGGCGCCACCAACATCTCCGGCTTTGGCCCAGAACCTAGAAAGATGTCTCGAACCCGAATCAGACAGCACTGTCACAATCCTGTGACCGGGTCCCAGCTTCATTGCCGTCTTCACGGCCGCGAAGCCTGTGTGATGGGAGATTTAGCATGAGTAACACGGCAAAGGAATTCCTTGGGAGCACTCACAGTTCACGGCACTGCTACTGCCGATGAATATGCCGTCCTTTTCTACAAGCCACCTAGCCATAGCCAAAGCTTGAGCGTCCGTCACTCTGACTGCGTCATTAACCAGCTCCTTCCCAGCCTCAAAGTTCGCCGTCACACGGTTGATCCCAATTCCTTCAACAATAGTATCGACTTGTCTGCGTCGTCTAGTGCCCTCCCTCTCCTTGTAATCGAACATGACGCCAAAGCGAACTCGATTGTACAGTCCACTTCCCTGAGGATCGGCCAGCACTACATGCAAGTTCGGTATCTTTGGCTTCAGGAAGAGCGCCACGCCAGAGATAGTACCCCCAGTCCCAGCGCCCGCGACGAAAGCATCCAGTTTTCCCTCGCATTGCGCATAGATTTCAGGCCCCGTGCCATTGAAGTGTGCCCGCCAATTGGACTCGTTCTCGAACTGGTCAGCGAAGAAACCCCTTCCGTCCGTGTTCGATGCGGTTTGCGCTTGCGCAAGAGCTCGCGCCCGGTTGACGAAGTTATCCTTTTCCACAATGGGTGCGGGTGGTACGCGGTCGACGATGGCGCCTAGTTTAAGGAGGAGATTGGACTTTTCGATCGCTTGGTCGGATGGCATACAGCTAGAGCATATCGTTAGTATGAGAGCTTGTAGCGGGGTTGTAGCAAAGTGGGTAGGGCTATGGGAAACGAACATGTGCGCGAGATAGCCTTTCGCACGGGCTAAGGTAGCCAAGGAGATTCCCGTGGAGCCGGAAGTACCCTCGTAGATTGTGTCGCCTGAATGAGGTCTTAAAATTCCGTGTTCTTCGGCCTGCGGGTGGTGTAAGAGACAATCCAGAGGGGTAGGGTGGGTTGCGTTACTATTTGAATCATGCTCAGCGCGACGCGATCCTTAGAGCTTTGTCCAGCTCCATTGAGGAACTGCAACATTGTTAAATATACCCCAACTATTGTTGATGAAGGTGTAATAAAATAGTGGACGATGTAAGAGTGGAATGACGTACTTCGGCCTTGCCCAAAATCTCGCACCCTGTCGCATCGGACAATGATTTGATTCGAAACAAAGGTGTATTTCCAATGCAGCCCTCAATGCCTTCGACAATGGCGGGAGGGCCTGGTCTCGCGCTCAAGGCATCTTCGGAGGTTGTTGCGGCTTTCTTCGCTTGCGAGCTTGCTTGGTAGTAGTCTTTGACGCGGCGCTCTATTTCCGGGTAGACAAGATCCTTGAATCCCAGCGTGAGAAGAACACCAGCGACAAAGGCAGTGCCGATATACAGATGCGAACGGTCATCCATGCTTAGAGGGGATCAAGTATGAGTATCTGCAGTGCAGAGAAGAGAAGATATCAATTCCTATCAATTCATCTACGTCAGAAGCTGGTCGGAGAAGAGACCGGAGAAAAAGCTCGGGCCAACCAGAGCAACTCCGGCCAATGGATTTCGTGATTCGTCGCCTGACCTCCTCACTCTCTCGCTCTCTCTTCGTCTTTCACGATCCCTCCTCGGCCTGCGCTTTGCTGCTGCTCGCCGCCAATTCCTCCTCATGGACTCGCCAGTCCTGAATCAGCTGTTTCGGCAGCTGTTTCAACATCCTGCCTGTCGCCAATCATGGAGATCCTCATCTGCCCTGTCGGGGCGCCGACCGGGTTGCGTGCGCCTGTCATCCACCCCATCCCGTCAACAGTCTCGCAACCTCAGTTTCCAAAGTTTTAAGAGACGCCTCTTTGGACATTCGAAACTAGATCCTGGGACACTATGGGCCCCGCGAGATCAGGTCATGGAAAATGTCGACAATTTCGAAGAGCAATTGCAGGCGTATCCGTTGGTGACGGCCAAAGAACTCCGCCATCATCGTGAGCGGCCGCGACAAGTGAAGATGCTGACGAGAGAATTTATCGATGGTTGGCAGGCCTGTCCACTATGTGATTGATGGTCGCTGATGCTAATGATGTTGTCTCGTTCTTTTCTAGACAGTTTATACAATCACAATTACGGCTACTTCTCGAAACACGCCACCATTTTCCGCCCCGGAGAGCCATTTTATTTCAACGAGATCGAGGACGGTCCGGCATTTTATCGCATGCTTGGGCAACGTTACGACGAATTCGAGGATCAGTTGGATGAGACCAATCCAGATGTCGCTCGTCAACTGTGGCACACGCCAACGGAGCTTTTCCGACCTTATTACGGAGAGACGATTGCACGGTACTTGGTGTCGAACTACAAGTTGACGCTGTACCCCTACCACGACCTGATCATATACGAAATGGGTGCCGGTAATGGAACCATGATGATGAACATATTGGATTACATTCGCGACACAGATTACGAGGTTTATCAGCGGACCAAGTACAAGATCATCGAGATTTCGCCGTCGCTCGCTTCGCTTCAGATGCAGAACTTAACCGACTCGCTGGATGCGGCCGGTCATTCAGACCGTGTGGAGATCATCAACCGCTCGATTTTCGACTGGGATACATATGTACATTCGCCGTGCTTCTTCCTGGCGCTGGAGGTGTTCGATAACTTTTCCCATGATCAAATCCGCTACGACCTCAAGACGGAGCTGCCTCAGCAGGGTGGAGTGCTGATTGACGCCAACGGCGAGTTTCTCGAGTACTACAATACGCAGCTGGACCCGATTGCTTCTCGCTTTTTGCGAGTGCGCCAGGCTGCGGCGCGACGGAAGTTCCGCACTCCCTTGACCTCCAAGTACATGAAGTTGATGCGCAGTCAGCTGCCCTGGCAGGAGGGCCATCGCTACAGCCTGCCGGAGTATATCCCCACGCGGCTCATGCAGTTCTTCGATATCCTGAACACCTACTTCCCGGGCCACCGGCTGATCGCCAGTGACTTTGACACTCTCCCGGATGCCGTTCCGGGTGTGAATGCGCCCGTGGTGCAGACGCGATACAAAAGACGGACAGTTCCAGTGTCGACACCATTCGTATGTTTCTCTCCCTTCCTTCCATGTGCTAGGTTGGCCGTATATTAACTTTGCATTAGGTCCACCAAGGATACTTCGATATCTTCTTCCCTACTGACTTCAACACCACCGAAGACATCTACCGTGCTGTCACGGGCAAGCTGACGCAGGTGATGAGCCACGAAGACTTTATGCGCCGGTGGGCGTATATTGAAGACACGGAGACGAAGAACGGAGAGAATCCGCTCTTGACCTGGTATAAGAACGCCAGCATGTTGATCACTGTGTAGAGGCGTCTATATGTACCATAGTATCAAATATCCAAGCAAGCATATCTCTGTATCTGCTCGTGTTTTGTCTCTGCCGTAACTCTGGTGCCTCGGCACCTGACGGAGCTTCATGGTTGGCGGGCCCTTCATCCGACCCTCAAACCACCTCTTCCATCCACTCCTTCTCCCTTCTCCTCTTTTCCTTCCCATCATTTCATCCATCCATCCAAAGCACCAAGTTGCTAACCCGTGAGGGGAAGTCGGCACCAAATCCGGTCAGCTTCCCCTCCCATCCCCGCAGCATCATCCGGATAGAAACCTAATCCATCCTCCCCCGAGATAGGCAGGATAAGACGATCAGGAGCCCTTGATTGGCAGCACCACCGATATCATCCGGCCGTGCAACTTATCTCCTCCCTTGGTTCATCACCATGATAGCCAACCGTGTTGGACTGTCGTGTAGGACACCTGATACCCATCCGGCTTTAAGTCCGGCGCTGTGACCTCTTCTTCCACCATACGACTCTGGAGTCTTCAGTGGTTTCAATTCCCCCATAGTCCTTCTTACCCATCTGCCCAAGACATCCTATATCCGCAAAGCTAGTATATAGAACATAACAACCATGACTATCCCAACCTGGAAATCAACCGTCTACAAGAAGCGCGCAGCTCAGCTGGCCGCTATTCCACCTAGTTGGCGTCTTCCGGAGTCCATCACTGCCGATCCGCCACTTAACGCTCTAGAGGCAATCCGCTCCTGTGACATTCTCACGGAGAGAGAGCTGGAATGGACGGAGATAAACGATAGTACTGTGCTGCTTTCCATGCTGGCGAGCCGCGAGATTAGTTCCGTTCAGCTCACGACGGCCTTCTGTAAGCGCGCGGCCATCGCCCAGCAGCTTACCAAGTGCTTGACGGAGATTTTCTTCGACAGGGCGCTGGCGCGGGCTCAGGAGCTTGATGATATCTTGGAGAAGACGGGGAAGGTGACGGGTCCGTTGCATGGGCTGCCGGTTTCGATTAAGGATCGGTTTGATGTCGAGGGGTTTGATACTACTGTTGGTTTGTGTCCATTCCCTGGTATTATTCCTTCTGGGAGACGAGTGGTGACTAACTACTTGCATGTAGGCTGGGTCGGACTAGTTGGTAAACCCGCGCAAAGCCACAGCAGTATCGCCTTGTCGTTGGAGTCAATGGGCGCAGTGTTGTACGTGAAGACGAATGTGCCGCAATCTTTGATGGTATGCAATCATTACCCTTCTACCTTGCTCTTGATGGCAGGCGCTGATTGAGCCAGATGTCAGATTCCTACAATCATGTGTTCGGACAATCCATCAACGCCTTCAACAACCAACTCATCTCCGGAGGAAGCTCCGGCGGCGAAGGCGCCCTCATTGGCACGGGTGGCAGTGTCGTTGGTATTGGAACAGATATCGGGGGCTCAATTCGTATCCCAGCCAATTTGCAGGGTTTATATTCGATCTGTCCTACTACAGGTCGAGTACCATGGAACTGCTCGTTGTATGGCTCCATCGCCTTGTACCTGACTCTATAGACAACGGCTGACCATCCCCAGCATGCACCAACACTACCTCGTTCCTCCAGTCGCAGGGCCCATGGCCCGCAGCCTTTCCAGTATCGAACATTTCATGCAATCCCTCCTCGACTCCAGCCCTTGGAACATCGATCCAGGCTGCATTCCAATCCCATGGAGAAAGGAACTTGCTGCGAAACCCACAGGTAAACTACGACTGGGGATAGTCTACGACGACGGCGTAGTCAAGCCGCAGCCCCCAATCGCCAGAGCCATGCGCGAAGTTGCAGAGAAACTCAAAGAGGCTGGTCATGAAGGTGTGTACACATTTCAGAACCCCCCCCCCCCCCTTTTCTTCATATCCTCAACTTCCACCAACCAAACCAGTCTTCGAATGGGACACCTCCCTCCACGTCACAGGTCAAAACCTGTGGACAAAAGCCATCCTCGCCGACGGAGGCCAACACTGTCGCTACCTATGCGACATTGTCGGGGAGCCATTAATCGAAGGAATGGTCGTAGGGACAGAGAAAGATGAACTGACCATTTCAGAACGCGAAGAGGTTAGTCCCATAACCCCCCAACCCATCTTTCTATCCCATAGCCATCATCCCATATTAACATAAACAAATATAATATAGCTCGAAGAAACCAAATGGGCCTACCAAACCACCTTCCTCCAGCAATGGACATCAACCAACATCGACGCCCTCTTGATGCCCGTCACGCCCTGGGTCGGCTACCGGCCGAAATCCTGGGTCGTCAGTTCCCAGTGGCTCGGCTACACGGCTCTCTGGAACTTGCTCAATTACGCAGCTGTTACTGTTCCGGTGGCTAAAGTGGATGGTGTGCTTGATCAGCCCGATCAGGAGTGGTTGGAGCATGTGCCTAGGAATGACTCGGATCGGTTTAATTGGGAACAGTGTATGCATACCCTCCTTCTCTCCTTCTCCCGTCCCTTTCTGGTTTGTATTCTTGTAGAGACTGTTTGCTGACGCTGTCTAGATGACCCTGGACTCGTCAAAGACATGCCCATCACGGTACAGATCGTTGGAGGCCGGTTTGGTGAAGAAAAGGCTGTTTCGGTGGCTAAGGTGTTGGATGAGGTTTTGCGGTAGTTGTAGATACTACATACTGGGGTATTTGCTATACATTGGGCGTATATACTAATGTATAGTCTCAGACATGTGATGATGTACAGACAATATGAAGTGCATTCTGGTATAGTCCCCGCACATCGCCTACAGCTTCACCTCCCTCTCACCACTACTGGAATCATCTCCCTTCGCCTTCCCCTGCCACGCAAACCCAATCTCCTTGCCAATCCCCGGCTCAACAATAACATTGACGACAGTCACACACTCACTCTCGAACCCTTCCCTAGTCGCCCTCTCCAACTCCTCCTCCGTTCTAACAAAGAACCCCTTTCCACCACACATCGTCGCCAACATCTCATACCTAGTTTCGTAGAGCAGACTCGTCGAGCGCAGGCCCTTCTTCGTCCCTCCAGCATCACCACCACCACCACTCTCAGAAGCCTTCGTATCATTCCCCACCGTCTGACCTTGCAATACCCTCCAATCATCCTCACTCACCGAATCCCCGTGATATATGCCCGAGTTATTAACCACGTAGATAAGTGCCGGGATGCGGTACCGCGCTAGGGTTTCGATTTCCATAGCGCTGAAGCCGAAGGCGCTGTCACCTTCGAAGGCTACTATTTTCTTTTGCTTGGTGGAGGTGGTGGATGGGAGGGCGTTGTATGCTTCATGCGCTGCGACGATGTACCCCATTCCGACGCCCATCGTGGCGTAGGTGCCTGCATCGAGACGTTGGCGGGGATGGTTGAGCGGGAAGATGGAGCGGGAGATGTCCATTGTGTTGGCGCCTTCGGAGACGTAGATGATGTTTCCCTGTTCAAAGGGGGAGAGGGTGTTGAGGGTCGATTTGATGATGTGGTAGGCGCGCTGATAGGTGAGGGGGGTGTTTGGTGGTGTAGGACGGAGGGCGGCGGTTTGGGCTTTGAGTTCGTTGCGGTTGGCGGAGGAGGTAAGGATGGATGTGAAGGTTTCGTTGGGTTTATTAGACGATGATGATTGGGAAGGAGTAGGGGAGTATTTCCAGTTAGAGAGCGATGAGAGGAGTTGGTCTACGACCAGTCCGATGTCTCCTAGGATGCCTAGCTCGGCTGTTCCGGCGTTGCGGCCGATTTCTTCGGCGCATATGTCCACCTGGATGATCTTGGCCGTTGAATTCCATTTGGGTGCTTCGCCGTAGTGGAGGATCCAGTTCAGACGTGCGCCGAGAATCAGGACAACGTCGGCGTGCTTTAGGGCTGCGCTACGCGCGCTGGATGCGTTCAAGGGGTGCGAGTCTGGCACAACGCCCTTTCCCATGGGTGTGGGTAAGAATGGGATCTGGGTCTGATCCACGAGCTGGTTGATTCCGAGCTCTGCGCGCGCGTATGCGGCGCCTTTGCCTATCACCACGAGTGGCGAGCGAGCGGTGCGGAGCAACTGCGCTGCCTTGAGGATCAGGGCTGGGTCTCCGCTCGCCTTTGGCGGCGAGGGGACGAGCAGGGTCTCGGGCTGCGGGAGACGGTATCCAGGGGAGGATTTGCCTTGGATAATGTCGGCGGGGAGGTCGACGAAGGTCGGGCCTGGGCGGCCGTACCAGCATGTGCGATAGGCATTCTTGACGGCGCCGGGGATGAAGTCGAGAGAGGAGGCGCGGACAGCGAGCTTGGTGTGGGGGGTGAGCAAGGAGATGGCGTCCAATTCCTGGAAGGCGCCTTTGGTGATGCCGGTGGTCTCAGCAGATCCGGCGAGGACCAGCAATGGGAAGTTATTTGCGGAAGAGTTCCCGATCTGGTGACAGTCGATAGTCTGGAGTTAGCACGATGGCCAAGAGCTGGCTAGCGGTGGAGAGAATGCTGGAGTAAGCTTACCCCGGCCAGCGCGTGGAGAACTCCCGGCCCTCCGACAACTAGACAGACGCCCGGTCGGCCGGTCATGTATCCGTAGACACTGGCAGCATAGCTGCAGGCCTGTTCGTTGCGAAAGGCCACGAATCGAATGCCCAGGTTGATGGCCTCTTCGGCGATCTCGACCACAGGGATGCCGACAATGCCGAAGATGACGGTTACGCCTAGATCGCGCAGCGATCGGGCGATCAGTTGAGCGCCGGTGACCACGGCCATAGTATACAGTGAAATTTTCTCCTTGCAAGGAGAATTGTGAGAGCAGTGCTGCTTCAGCGAGAAGTCGTGCGGAGTTCGAGTTGAAGGAGGAGCAGGAGAAGAGCCGAGGCAAACAATGGCGGATGACGCAAAGGGGTGAGTGGCCCCAGGCAGCCACATGAATAGTATACAATAAAGGGATGGAAAACTGTAGATAATTGATTACAACCATTTGATTAGAACAGAATATCTACAGATAATTCGCATTCTCATTTACACTGCATATCTCAATGAGCTTCGTTCATTACGGCATCCCTTCGTGGACGCCAGTCCGCAGATAATCATTCATATGGTATCCATATCCAAAACATCACCTTCCATCCAGCTAGACAACATCTCTCAGCAAACCAGGCTGAGCATGACCACTATATGCCCCTTAACTATGCTTAGAACTCAAACTCCCGCCGGAAAACATTGACATCCATGCCCGCCACCACCTGATCAGCCAGATCACGTCGTCCCATCTGGCTAAAGACTCGCCGCAGCGTGTCGTACAGGTTGGTGCTTTGGTTCTGGCTAACATGGATCATGCGATCCAGCTGCTCGTCGTCAATGCCACCCTCGCCACCGACAATCTCACGCGCCCGCTCTCGACCTTCCTGCTCAACCACCCGGTGCATCGACAGTGCTCCCAGCAGGTGTTGAGCAGCTTCTGGGTAGCAGCCGATGTTGATGCACGACACACCCAGGTTGTACCGCGCCCGGACGAAGTTGGGGTTGATGTTCAGCGCTTGCTCGTAGGCTTCGATCGCCTCCTCGGAGCGACCCGAGTTGGCGAGCGTAGCACCCAGACGGTTCCACAACAAGTGGAGCTGCTCCTGTTGGTTCGAGGTACCAGATTCCGTGGATGCCAATGCAGCAGAGAAGCAATCAACCGCCTTGTCGTACTCCTCCGCGCAGTAGAAGAGAACTCCCAGACCGACCTGGACGTCCGGGTCCATTTGCTCGCCCGAAGGCGATAGCTGAGCAGCCTGAATGAAGAGATCGGTGACACGGTCGTGCAGGAGCTGACGATCCGTAAAGCCCAGGTCGGCATCCGATGAAACATCGTTGGGGTTGATAATCTGGGGGTACTTGACGGACAGCCAGCGCTCCAGAGTGCGGTACGATGTCGAGTCATAGCCCTCATTGGTGTAGGAAACAGCCAGTCCCATCAGCGCATCCAGGTTGTTAGCATCAATCTTCAGAGCCTGCTCCAGCGCCCTGATGGCCGGAAGTTCCTTCTCATTCTGCGCCTGGGCCGATCCCAGCATGGTCCAGGCCTGAACATGTTGGGGGTCTTTCTGGACTGCCGCCTCGAAAGCCAAAGCAGCCAAGGAGAGGTTTCCACCCTCACGCATAATCTTCACTCCCTCTTCGAAAGGATTGTTCACACTTCGGAAAACGTTATCTTCTTCGAACATATAGTCGCCTAGTTGAGGATTCCGGAAGCGCGTGTTAAGCGTATCGAATCCGTCCCATTCGCCCATCTCACCCATATGCAGGTTGTCGTCAATGTTAAAGTCGGTCTCGCCCTCGGCCAGTTTCCTGTTTGTTGCGGTCTCAGCTTGGACCCGTTGCCACACGCTTTCAAAGGCACTATCGCCCGAATCTTGGGGGACTGACCTGTCCAGATCATTCAGTTCTGCCTCCACAGCTGCGTTGGCTTCATCGTCCAATTTCTGAGTATCCGCCGTCTCCATCTCCGCAAACTGTGCCTCCCAGTTCTCATCGTCCAACTCCACCATCCGTCCCTTGCCCTTATCCTGTGTAGTCGCCTCCGCTGACTGCGGCTGCTGCTGCATCGCCATAGGGTTAAAAGTCTGCGGCATCATGCCCATTCCACCCATGCCCATATACCCGCCCATACCCATGGGCCGCTGGTAACCTGCCATCATCGGCGACGGGGCAGACGCCACAGGATTAGCCGTCTGCGGCATGCCAGCCCGACTCTGCTGCTGAAACCGGGCAAATTCCGCAGGCGTAAATCCCGACCCATTGTTCATCATGGGACCTTGCGGCCCGGCAAATGCAGCCTCCATGCGGGCATGCTCGCCCGCATCGAACTCGGCAGCCCAGCCGGGCGAGCCCGTCCGGGGAGGTGTGGTCTGAAACTGATCTAGCTCACGTCGCAACTGCTCCATGGCGAATGGTTGCGGGGGAGCACCGGGGATTTGGCCGGGTTGTTGGGCGAATTCGTCCATCATCTGAATAGGATTATCAATCAGGCATTAGTACTGGATGAGGATGTATAGTTTCTGATTTCGTACCTGATCTTGTCCTCCCATCATACCCCGGGACCGCATGCCTTCTTGCATGCCTCCTGGGCCCCGCCCCACGAGGCGATCTCTCTGTAGGGACTTATCATCTTGGACGTGCTTGGTGAACTGAGTCAACGGATTGCCTGCCGTCGAGCACTCGGCGCCACCAAGGAAGGACATGTTGTGTGTGTAGTAACGATCGTAGTGGTCTGGGTCTCAGTTATATCATGAATAATGCAGGGGGAGATGCGGAGAGGTCGAGTATCTGGTAGAGCTGATTATAAAGCAGATGTGAATGCGAGTTGTCCGAGGAAGAACAGCTCGAGCGCCGAACGTGGGGTCTCGGAGAGAGGCGCTACTGCCGATCGGAAAGATACCGAGGCTCCCCGACAGTCACGTGGACTGTCACTATCATGCTACGGAGTATACTAGTCTATCGATACAGAATCCCCGAGGTATATTCCAGTCAGTCGAATGCAATTTCGTTAATATACAGACCTACAGTAGGATATATCGTTCAATTAAAGTACATGAGACCTCTCCTCCTTTGACATGTTTACACAAAATAATCCTGATGCCAACCGCTCAAACTATTATGACTGCTCCGCGGGAGCAGACTTGTCGTTGCCAACCACGGTCC